CTCACACACACACACACACACACACACACACACACACACACACCAAATACCTCTAGGCCTGATCAGGCATTACTTCCTCTCTCTCTCTCTCTCTCTCTCTCTCTCCTCTCTGTAATTCCTGGCATGTCTTTGTGTGTGTGTCTGTTAGAACCGGATCTCCTCTGGGAGGTGTGATGACGCAGATAAAGATCTCCTGCTCTAGAGGTCTATGACATCATCAACAGATCACACAATAGTGGGGGTGGACTGCATGTGTGTGTGTGTGTGTATGGTTTGGGACCCAAGAGATTGATGTGAAGCAAACAAGATGAGGAGGGAGTACAGTATCTTAAAATAAAGTCTCAGATCTATTCTCCTACCTCTTATGAGCAATGACCTGCACATATGTGGATGTCCAAAAGAAATGTCTGAGGTATTTCTAAACTGTCAATATGTGCACTTTGCACTTGTGGAGACTGAGAAACACATAAACACAGCATCCTATGCTAAAATATTCACCTCGCACCAAGTTTGCGACCACAACAACCTCTTATTGTGAAAAGTGTGTCAGAAGAATATCACCTACTGCTGTACTTTATATGTTTTAGTGCTTAGAATGTTTTAATATGTTTTCACTTTTTTATTCAGGTCTATGTTTTAATTTAATTTAATTTTATTCAGACCTGTTTTAATGTTTTTTTTTTTTAACTTTGTTTAGTTTTCTTATACAACATAAACTCGATCAAAAAGCGTGGTCCAACAAAGAACAAAAACAGTACGGTGCAAACAGATATACAAAAATAAAAGTAAACAGAACAAGTCTTAATTGTCAGTAGGGCTGTCAATCGATTAAAATTTTTTATCTTATCAATCACATCCTTTTCCTGTGATTAATCGCAATTAATCGCACACTTCGTGAAATTAAGCATAGACCATTTATCTTGTTTCAAATGTTTATTTTGTCATCATTTGCTATATCCAGCAAAGTAAACCAAAAGATTGAAGGATGATTCTCAAAAATCTGTATTTTCTGCAAGCTTTTTTCAAGATAAATTTAGATGACTTTCCAAAAAAGTACACTTAGAAACTCCAAAAGGACACCAAAGAACCAAATGATATAAGGAGCCCATATAAGCACATATGAGAAAAATCTGAATTGTATAGTATGTGTACAGTGCAACACCAAAGAGCTTTTTTACATTTTAGAGAAGCCAAGTTGCCATACCGAACAGGACCACATGGAGATGCCCAAAAAAAAAACTAAACCAACCGCCTGCTGACTGCATATACTGTATCTACTACAGTACACGGATCCTTTCCGTATAAACACAACAACATAAACATGACAAATCAAAACATTATCGTGAATGTGTATGGAAACCACGTGAATGTATGGAAATGTCTGTGTCTGTGCCTGTGCATAATACAATGTGCGATCAGTGCGTCAAGAGCACTCATACACGCATTATTATAACGGACTCACGTGTGCTTACTGTACGACTCCTGTACGCCACCGCAATCGTCTTTACCTTGATTGCAGTCTTCATCCATCAAAACTTTACTAGCCAGACTGGTTATCCAGTCGAGAAACCATAGTGTGAGTCTCATCTGGCTATACAGCGGTGGGATGTGTTGACAATCCGTTCAGCCTTTACTTCACACAGCGCGTGTGATGTGTGAGGGCTTGCGCTCTTCAGAGACAATCACAGAATATGACAGAGCTCGTGTTTAAAAGCGAAACACACTGGAATGAATAATTCACTGAAAACGCAACGCGAGTCTCTGTTTTCTCTGCAGTCTCTAATGTAATCAGTCTGGTTTCCTTTATATTAGCGCTGTTTTGGACGGATTGTTTGAATGCATTCGCTTACTGGATCATTGGACTGAAAACTTTCCCGGAGTTTAGCGGTTTAAAATTATCTAATCGCAAGCAGAGAAGCAAAATTGGGTTAAAGATTTATAATAGAAATTGTGCTTCAGTAATTCTGCGTTAATTGCGTTAAATTATTTTTAAGGATTGTAAACTTAATCGCACGTGTTAACGCGTTAACGATGACAGCCCTAATTGTCAGGGATAAATATCTCTGATACGTGCAATGTAAAACATAAATCCGATCAAAATATCACAATTATTACATCTTGAACGAACAAAGAAAAATAACAAATAATGTTTTTACGTTTTATTTAGGAACAGGTCTATGGGTATCCACTTGTTTGGATAATCTATGAATACTGTAACTTGACACACAGGGTCTCAGTCAGGATGAACACTGTTTAAAGTCCAATAAATATAAATCAGTTCAAACGGTATGAATTTCCCTTGAAGGTCCATTGATATCTTTCCCTGCATCTACCAGTATATTCATAGGCATTGCCCACACGGTGTGTGGTTTTATTATCCACTAAGTTCAATTCCTATTTATTACATGACTTACTGGAACACTCTATTCTGATATTTGGGTCATTGTTCATTTGTGGTGGTGAGTGGTGTCTATCTATTTTGTAACAGTTTATAACTCTTTAAATACCAATAAATCATAACATTTTTGCATATTTGTATTCTGTAGGGTGAAAACTTTGTGCACTATTAAGAGTTAAATATTTTATAATGATGAGGATCATCAAATATCACACTGATGAAGTAAGGACCAGCTGACAAAGTTGGTATTAACTGTATCACTCAGCTGAATTTAATAGTGCTAAATGTGCAAATTAATTTTAAGCAATGTTCCTCACCTGTTTAGGTGGCTGTAAGTCAACCCAGCAATCAGCATCCAACATCATGCTGATATCAGCCAACTTAAAGCGCATCGTGCCCAGAGTGGAATTATGGGAGAATCGATCACAGCAGTGAAGTGAGAGGGCCACCTCACCATCTAGACTGTCTGTGTCTTCTGTGCCCTCCATGGGGAGAGCGAACACCAGCTCCTCTCCCCACTGCACATGTGCTGCTAGCTTGTGGACGGCTGTGTGAGCGTTCTTCTGCTCTTCAGAGATGCTTACACACCCTGATATATATCCCTCACATCCGGCCTCCACTGATATATTCTCCGCTGTGGAAAAAAGAGAATATGAGTCATATTATAACAAGGAGCAGGATGACAAATTGGGCCACATGAAGCTGCTTCAAGCCGCAGAGGCACCAAGCGTCACATTCTCTTTTGTTTGACTCCTCACTTTTCATTCCTTTCTACATCTCAGCTGGCATGACTGATCCTCTCCCCTTTTCCTGTTGGGTTGTGCAGAATAGAGGTTTTGAGTTTAAAGCAGATTTACTCTCATTACCGATAATGATGCGTATCAATCACGGCTGCTACTATTGAAATGGTAATTCTGTGATTAAGAGGCTTTAAGATGCCTGAAAGAGGTTTTAATTTCTCTCAAACATTGGTTTAATCACAGAGAGTTTTGAATATCAAAACCACCCTCTGTTCCAGCCTTGAAAGCAGAGCAAAACCACTGTACAGTGACACCTCTATCCCACAAACACAACACATCTGGCTGAGCCATAAAAGCCTGCTTTTTACAGATATTTGCTCATGCTGTGTGACCTTCAGATGACCTGTGCACATACTGAAAAATGCTCCTAGAGCTTCATTGGAGCTGAATGCAGAATTGTTTGTCTGTCATCTGAGTCGATGTGTTTGTAAGGCCTTTGCACAGATATTTCCCCCCATTTTGCAGTACAGTTGTCTAAAGTCAGAGCCAGTCTGCAGATTTTGGGCAGTCGGAGTTGACAGAGTTTGCAGAGTGCGGTGTATGATGAGCAGTGAGCACAGACTCCAATTTTTTAGCTTAAGACTATGATTTTATCCAGTATCCAAAGGATATCAAAAATGTTTTATATTTCGAATCTGATTCAGTTGTTATGTTTACAAAACTTACAGAATCAATGTTTTGGCTGCAGCAGCCAAATTATCAGTAAATAACAATTTAAATGAGTGTTATTTTAGTATTATGTATACAATGGTATAGTGTTTATTAATATTTTGAATTAGTTTTGTATTTTCATGTTTTAGTTTAAGTTTTAGTAACTTTATTATGTGCTTACTAGTTTTATTAGTAACAAAACTTTATTTTGAAGTTTAACTTAAAAATTAACTTAAAAAATATTTTTATTTTTAAAGCAACTGTATTTATTTATTTTTTTTTCAAAATCTTTTGGATGGTACACTTGATTGGAAATGCTTTCTGACTTGTAACACAGTGAATGGCGAATGTTTCTTCCGAATTTTAAAGTTATGTTGTGTATTCCTGTGTTTATGTCTGTAATCACATTTCTGAAGTTGAAAAGATGAAACTGAATTTATGATGGCAGACAGTGTCTGAGTGAATTGTTGCTAATTAGTCTTATTATAACATGACAGCATTTCCACAGGAATCCAGATGGTATGTATCCTTTGAAACACCTGCTGGTAAATTATCACCAAAAGGATGCTACACAATATAGTCTGAGATTCACCTGCAATTCTCAGGTGCCACACTCTCTTTCTAGAAACATCAGAGTAGATGAATGTTTGTTACCTTCTACAATGCTGATGTGTAGCTCTCCATTTTCTTTGTGCAGGCTGATGGAGAAGTGTAGTTTAGGATACAGGATGGAGTTACTTGTCGTCATGGCACCAGTTTGCTCAGATGTGCAGGGCGTTTCATCTGCAGAAGCTAATATGAAGAAAATAAATATAAGTGAGTAAATTTTAGGAGCAGACTTTCTCATTAAAATCCTTTGTATTCCCTAGAACCAGAAAAACAGAGAAACGTTACAGACTATAGTTAGTTCTGGTCCTCCTGGGACTTTTCACTGTTTCATTGCTCAGTGACTCTTTCTGCAGGTTACATTGATTAGCCAGTAGGTGGCGACAAGTTACTGTCTTTTTAAAGTGAGTCATGGAATCATTTACATAACCAATTCGATCAATGACATTGATTCATTCAGGATTCATTAATTGATGAGTGCTGCTCGAGGACATGCAACATCAAAAAATGGACAATGTAAGCAACAATAATGCAGCCAAAATGTTCCTATGTAAACAATCACTTGCCATCGCGCTGTTGGTCTGACTATCAGCTTACACAGCATGACATTGAGAACAATAGAACATGTGCTGTTAAATTCTTCAAGAAAGGTAGCACTTTCTTTCTCCGCATCTGTTAGTGGGTGGATAAACCTCAAATCTTGCTCAGAAAGGAAGGCCTTGATCATGAACTATTATATTGTATGTAACCTTTACTTGACATGATAGAAGCTGTGAGCTATGAGTCAGATCAATATATGTCAACCACCAGGTATGATTATAGTAGCAGGTTTCACTGCTTTAATATGAGAGGTTGACAATTGCCTCTGGGCCACATCTGCACAGATTTGAACAGCAACAGCAAATGCCACTGGTGTCTAACGTGTTAATGGTGTTTAATGGCCGAAATTCCAATGTCTAATCTCTTAAGGGGTGAGATGACTAATAGTTCATAAATTAGACATTTTCAGCCCCATAAATAAAGTCAACCTCAGATTTTTCTGAATTCAGACTGGCTGAAATTAGCTGCTCTCTCCCAATGGCTGAAGTGGTCTGGAAAGCATAGGGAAGCCGGCCACACACACAGACACACACACACACACACACAGCCTCCCCCATTGAGTTCCATTAGATTTTAGCTGTCATATCCTTACCTTGCCGCTGGAGAGAGAAGACCTCCTCACGATCGGTTGCCTGGTTACAGGTGTCGAGCTCGGCAGCAGACGTGTCATTGGCAGCTCCATGTTCTTTGTAGTTTACCTCTTGAGAAGTGACACAAGGTTTGGGGCGGTAGATTTTAGGAAACTTCAAAGATGCTTGAGGCTGGATGGGTTCTGTGCACTTCTGCACACTGAACTAAAACATGTACATAAATAAGAAAGAGAAAATAAAAATGATGAAATAATATGATTGGTTATAGATAGGTAAAACAAAAGTAGTAGGTTCCTCCACTCAAACCATTAGGTATTCAACCTGCTCAGACATTTCTTAAAATTTATGATGGTATATTCAGAAAACATTGATTATGCCAAGTATACCATTCCAGTAATACTTGATCTTAACCAAAGAGTATATTTTAAAAAAATTACACTAATCCTAATCAACCAAAAAAATTTTTCAAAGTATTATTGTCTCAGTATGAATTAAACATTTCCATTCTTAGAGGAACTAAAGCTCGGAATCAATTCCATTCATTCTTTCCAATTCAAAGTTTACATTACATACTCAGCACTGATTTTAAACACCTTGACATGAGACAGGGGTATTTCACTAAGGGGCTTTCTGATGACTGAATTTAATGTCTCATTGAGGTTTTGATGTTTAGGGTCTGAAAAAAAAATCAGGAAAGCATGAATGAAAAAATCAATACCAGAACACTCCATTTCCCCCAGGTGGGCAGTTATCATGCTGAAATAGAGTGCACAGAAAAAGGAGCGAGAGAGGATATTCTTATACACCTCTCATCTTCCTCCAACCTCCTCTTCATTAATAATAAATACTGGTGCAGTGAGACAGATATGAGATGAGACTGACCTTATCTCTAAATATATATACTGATACACATGCACATACAATCACATAATCCTCTAGATAACACTCAGCTCTGTCTTCATTGTGGTGTTTTTTAGACAAAATCAGCAAATGAATAATCAGTTTTTGCTGCCTCAGATTACATTTTAATTGGACATATCAAAAGAGGCTGAAAGATTTAAGAGGGAAATCAACACTCTCACAATCAGCACCATCTCTTTCATAAATGGAGAGAATGATTGTAGGATTGTAGATTTAGCAGATTCCAGTCATAAAAATTTAAAGGAGTCCTATTACGCTTTTTCACTTTTTCAATTTTAGTTAGTCTATAATGTTGCTGTTTGAGCATAAAAAAGATCTGCAAAGTTACAAAGCTCAAAGTCCACTTCAAAAGGAGATATTTTATTTAACAGAAATCACTTTTCAAAAACTCAATCACAACACACACTGGCCCAGCTAACCAATCACAACACACACTGGCCCAGCTAACCAATCACAGCACATTTCGTATTTCAGAAGGCAGGCCTTCATTTGATACAGGAACTATTCGAGCCGTTCATGCCAGACTGAGGAGAGAGGTGCTGTAATAATGTAAAATATGTGAAAAATAATGTGTTTTTCGAACAACCTAGTATGAGAGCCTGTTCTAGTACACCCCCAAAACAAAATCAAGACTTTGTAAAAGAGCATAATAGGACCCCTTTAATTTTCTGTGTAACACAGAATGTCACAGATTTTGGCAAAATAAGGTCATGCACATAATCACATTGTGATATAAGTGCCTGTGAATATTAAACCACAAAGACTACTATTTTAACATGTCTGTATGTTCTGCGTGTCTCTGTGTGAACGAATAGCACAGTTTCGTGTACTACACATAAGCACGCGTGACGCTCGTGGTGTTTTCAGCATTCATTTTTTGTAGAGATGCTTTGAAACTATATGCATTGAAATGGGGGAAGCAATTGGGGGAAAAAAGAACAAAATTTCACAGGGCCCTATAAGAATGGATAAATGTCCCTATAGATCTAATGTCACTTTTAATTAAGACATTTTTTACTTTTACTTACTTTTCCTTCAGCACACACATATTATGGTCTGAAAGTGATTATTCATGACTGCATATAAATATACAAAGACTATGAAAGGGAGTGTGTGGGGACTGGGGAGGGGTCAGGTTTTGCAAACATCATGACCAAATGTCCCCAAAAGGATCAAATTTGAAATTTTGTACATTGTGAGCACCAGCCAATGGCCCCCACAAGAAAAACAGCTTAAAAAAACTATAAAATGAGGATGTCATCAGTGAGGATTACAGGCAGGGGATGGGAAATATCATTAGCTCAAGATAAACAATACAAGTCATTTGAAAGACATGATAATAGTCATGAGAGAAGAACAATTTTGTGTGTGTGTGTGTGTGTGTGCAGTTTCAGGACTCAAGTTTCAGGACTATTTCAGGGAAAGCTCAGCAGATGCAGAAAAAACACCAGTGTGAGAGTATATGTGTACAAGAGCGTGTCTGTGTTTTTAAGTGAACAATGAATAAATTGAATTCGTATGATAAACACAATTTTTTGGAAAAAAGTAAGCATGAAGGCTCACCCCAAACATAACCGTCACTGGGGAGTGAGCAAATCATATGAAAACGTATGAGACCATACAAACTGATACGAATTAGCCACCAGTTTGCCAAAATATAAAATATATACAAATTGTCATGAGAATGTGTTGGCTTTTCTGCCCCTATACATCAGGCACTAGTAACAGCAAAAATATGAAATAAGGTGACATATAGACAGCTACATCAGTCATTACATTTGATTTATAATGTATTTACTATATAATCATAGAGCAGAACACAATTTTTAGTACATTTATACCATAATGTTACATTATGAGCATGCATGTAGATTATTCCATAATGACACAGCCATCCACTAAAGACTTTTCAGATACATGCAAAGAAATCCTTTTTAGTACAGCATCATTGTTTCTGCCTCAGTGTGTTATGTAAGTGCCACTTCCATCCTTCCACTCAGGTCAGAACATTTCACTCGTGGCATATCCCAGCCTTTGTTTTCATATCTGTTATCTGTTCTTTTATAAGCTCTTCTGTGTCTGTATTTAAAATCAAATCTGGTTGCTGGTCCATGGCTGTGTGTGAGTGAGTATTGGTCTTACCTGTGTCAGAGTATGCAGGATACTGGGTTTGGCTTTCTCGGGGTCAGTCTCATCCCCTCTTTCAAATTTCCCCTTCTTACAGCTCTTGCACAGCAACGAGAGACCACACAGTGTCAACACTCCAGACACGGTACCCAGCGTAGCCCCCAACAGTGCTGTCGCAGACACGAGCATTCCCACCTTGAAACAGACACCCAAACACACCGAATGAAGCGCAGAGGAGTGAAGAGGAAAAACCAGGAGGAATAATCCACTCTTTAGTGATGTGAATCCATGGTGAGTGAGGAGAAAGAGGAAGAGAGAGGAGATGAGTGGAGAGCTACTAGAGACATAGAGTGGCACGTGTATGTGTGTGATGCACTGTCTGAAACCAACTTAGCCTGGCAGACAGAGCAAAAGGGAGAGAGAGAAGGAAAGAGAGACAGACATAGACAAAAGGGAGGTAATCAAAGGGGAGGGGCTCGGATGGCTGGCAACTCCTCCTGAATAAGGAGAAGTCGGTCACTGCAGCCCACCCCCTTCATCACCAAAGTGGCTGTATGTCAGCCTTTACGTCAGAGCTGCATGAACTCACCTTCACACACTGGGTGTGTTGTAGCAGAGCTTCATATATACACTCACAGTAAAGATTCTTAAAATAATGAGGTATGAAGCGTAGGAGTGTCATTATTTTATTTACGCATGGCAGACACTTCTATCCATTTTACATTGCAATTTATCAGTTCATGCATTTGCTGAGAATCCATGACCTTACCATTGCTAACACCATGTACTACTGTTTGAGCTAAAAAGTTAAACAACATTAAAGGCAGGGTTGGGTTTTATAAATGTGGTAATACTAATAATGATTATGTTTATTAAATTTACATTTCTAATAGGCCTATATTTTTTTGTGATTTTGCTTGATGCCACCAAGCTTGTGCTGCTGTTTTGGTCATACACAGTTCACTCACTATCTAGTGTGCAATAGTGCATATTGTAAAAAAAAAGATCATAATAAATACATATA